AAAAACGCCGATGGTGCACCCATTGCCCGCGGCTAAAGGACAGGGTCTTCGAGGTCCCAGTCAAGAGAATGTTTCATATACCACCGGTTTGCGAGGCAAACAGGACAAACGACCAATAAAGACAACGTATCCCTACCAGCACCTGACTCTGGTCTCCGAAATGGAGGCTTTGGTAGACTTTTTCAAGGTGGTGACCGGCACTTGGAAGGTCCTGGTAGTGGTGACCGGCACTTGGAAGGTCCTGGGTGTAGGATTCCAACCACCACTAATTCAATAGGATTTCAATACCCAGACACTCCATGTATGGCATATTTACATACATTGATGACCCCTAAAACTACCCCAATGTAGGTAAATATGCCATACATGGAGTGTTTGGGATAGGCTTGACCAAACAACCGTTTAATTACCCAGAACCACGACAACCTTAACTGACGAACGAGGCATGCGTCCTTCGTCCTTCGCCCTGCCCTCCAAACGACGGTCGCAAACGAAGTGTTCACTGCTCCGGAGACGGCAGGGCTTGGAGGGAGAGGAGCTCCCACCAGATCATCCCTTACGATCTGTGCCAGAGAGTGTGGAGCTCATGGGGAAACCAGGGGAACCCACCCGCGGCGCACAGCACTCAAAACGGCAAGGTGACAGGTGCCTGATGTGTTTTTTTGAGTACGACAGTTGAGCAAGCATCCAACACCTTTTCAATGCCTTGTCCAAAGCGGTTGGCTTGGAGATGTTTGGAAGTTGCACGGTTTGCGCAAACTCTCCACCCAACAAGCACACCCAGAATGGTAGAGTTTGGGAAGAACTGCGTCATTTTACACGAGGCGCACGAGTCGTATGATCAAGTTTTGGAGTCACCTCTTTAGGTACTAAGTGACCTCATTCTGAGATCTCAAAGGAAATAGTCGCTTTAGATGTGACTTGTTATATCCTTTCTTTGTAGCACCAGTAGCCTGGCTTCGATACGATTCCGCCATTCGTCCAGAGTCCAGTTCTGACCACGGTGCACGCAGCGTGGTCACGAGCATGCGGGCATGCGCCGCAGACATGGGCTCAAACGCTCTGAAGTGGGACTGCTCAAGGAGCAGTTGAACCAACCGGAAGCTCCTGGCAACTGTGTCTACAGCCTGCGCGTTTTGTTTTTTTTTGGCGTGGTCCCGGTCCCGGGTTTGGGCTTCATCCAAAACGAGAGCCGATGGAATTCTCCCGGGTCCCTGCAGTTGCACTCTGCTGGGCTCTAGAGCCATTGGGCAGTAGATGAGATAGATAGAATATGATAGAATGATCAAGTTTGAATAAATAGTTCATGCACTCTTGATGAATAAAACCCCTCATATGAATTTCATATTATAGAACATATATATATATATATTAATAAATATGTGAAGAGGTTATTCAAACGTGGGGGGTTAATAATAATCAAGAGTCTACATTTTATGTATGCCAAGGGTCAACTGGGATAGCCGAGCAGTCGGGTTAACCTCCCACCGAACTGTTGGGAGGTTCACCCGATCGTCCCAAGAGGTGACGACTTGTGCTCCTCCTCCCCTCCCACCTGGCACACTGGCAGTTGGTTTGTTCCGCGCACATGTGCGTACCATGCTGCAAAGGCACCGATGGCCTTCGGCGCAATTTGAGCACCGAAAGCATGCACCGAAAGCATAGAAAGAAAGCTTTAGTTGATAGCAAGGACTTCCTTGCAGGGTCCCTATAGTACTTTGCTTTGCATGTGCGACTCTATATGTCGATGGGTGGTGTATGTGAACCACTTGGCAAGTGTTTGTCATTTAATGCTTGACAGGAATCTAATTTTCTTTAATTTCTTAAAGCCACGTGCCCTTAGCTTTAAAATGCTTCAAGTGTTTTTTGAGCAGAGTAGCCCTTGGTGCTAAGGCATGATGCGCCAGTGGCCCATTGTCTTGCTTATCTCAGCTGCTTTCCGAGTTGCAGTGGGTTCCACATGCCTGGCAGATGGCATTCCGCCGGAACGACGCAAGAATTTGGCCGCTCGGAATGGGGGGGGGTTCCTGCAGAATCTGGTCCAGCCCCTTGAAAACCAAGAGGCGGTTGGAGAAACTGTCTTCCGGATTCTCCCAAGAAGTGTCGGAGTTCATTATGGCATACCAGTTAGTATACAAGCATGCACCAAGCCTGATTTGATCATTTGCTTGCGCTTGGAACTGGTGTATCAACTCAGACCTGAGCTTCCAGGGTCCCGACCTCCTGACCTCCTGCTGATCGAACATGTTTGCGAGCAGCTCGGGGAATGGTGCACCTGCCCATGCCTGATTTTGGGCCAGCCAAGGTCAAGGTGAAACCTGGGGAGATTGATCCCTTATGCCTGATTTGGGCTCTCAGGTCAATGTGAAACTTGGGGAGACCTATCCCCTGGGCATGCACTTGAATGACTGGGCAGCCTCCTATGCATCTTCCGCCGTGGCAAAGATCCTTCTCGAAGAGAAGCTGGGCCATTGGGCAAGATCAAGAAGCGGGCAAAGGGTGAGAGGGGACTCCCAAAGGGTTTGGGTGCTCCATGTTTGGAATATATATATATATATATATGTGCCTACTGCTCCAAATCACCCAAAAAGAATCCCAAGAGAAATGGCCACCAGTAGGTATGGACGGTATCAACTTCTTCCATGGGTTTGTAAGCTTTTTGGAAGCAGGGCAAGGTGAGTACAACGGGGAACAGCATCCCAGATGCGTTCTATGTTTTAAAAGTTGTTTACTTGCAAGATCTTGCAAGGTCTTGGCAGTTGTTCAGATGGAGAAAAGTGGTTCCAGTCAGTGGATCATGTTGAACGGGGGCGGGGATTGGAAAGGATTACTCCCGGGAAGAGACACACATGGAACCTGAAAATGGACCAGATTGGAAGACTATTTTCCTCTACAACCCAGTTGTTTTCAGGTGCTATGTTAATCTTCCAGGGCGTAATCACAAAGACCAAGCCGACCAAACCCCGGAAGAGTGAGGGGCCCTCTTGTGCGGTCCTAAAGCCTTTGCGGTCCTTCTTCAGCATGTTAATCTTCCAGGGTCTAAATCAAACAAAAAACACACCAAACACCGCGACCCCAAAACCCGCCTCGCCTCGAGGTCGACGAGATCGATACGGTCCGGCGAGGTGTTTAGTTTGGGGTTTCCGATCACCCCTGGAAGTCCAGTCGACCATTTGGACAATGGTGGTCACCTGGTATATTGGTAAAGCCCTTAGTGAATATAGGGTATATAGGAGGCTCCCGCGGTTGACCTGGTTGACCTGGTGGACCACGACTTCTAGGGTCACCTCAGCTCGTGAGATGCAGTTGAGACGGCATGAATCCATATATGAATCCCCGTAGACTGGGAGGTGCCAAGAGAGGTAGCCAGTGACCGTAAATAGAACCCGGAAAACCTGGGGTACCCAACTGGGATAGTCTATGGGGTCCTTCAACCTCTGTTGGTGGTCTTGAAGTTGCTTTTTTGTTAAGGTCCTTGATCCGGAACTTCCAAATCCCCAAATCCAAGCCTCAACGACTGGTGACTGCTTCCACCAGCCACCATCCTGCACCGCACAGCGCGCAGCGGCCGGGGGTGTGTTGCTTCGCGCAGCTGAGGTTTTAATGTTTCCCCGGGCAGTTTGAAGGTCCAAGAGACACTCGATGTATCCTAGCTCATTCCAAGCTGTTTTTCATAAAAGAATCTAGCTGAAAGCCTGAAGAAAGCAATCTATACAGATCTTCCTCCCCAAATCAAACACCCTCCAACACCTATGTTTATCTTCGTCTTATTCCCTTCCATCTCGTTCTCACCTCCCAAACCGTCCGAGCCTACGACCCGTTGTAACCATCCCTCTTCAGGTTACAACGTCACCGAGCGGTTGACGGGCGCCGCCACCGTGGATGCTTACTTTGCCGTGGCGGGCTGTCTCACGCCGACCATCATTGGCAATCGAGGATGCGGTGACGGTCCCGCTGTCACCTACAGTTCCTTCGGCCGAACCCGGCCGAACCCTCCAGGGGCGCGTTTGGCCGGTCTGGCCGGCTGGGGGGGGGGAGCCGTGTTTGGACTGGGCCGAGGAGCTTCTGGAGCCCAAGAGGAGCTACGGGGAGTTCTTCCAGCATTCTTCAACTCCCAAAACCTTCGTCCAACTCCACTTTCTTGGCGTTTTGGCCCTTTTGGTGCGGTGCTATGGTGGGTAGAAGTGGACAAGGATCGCAAGGATACGTCTGAGTTTGGGTGACCCCTTCAATCTGAAACTCGGTGGTGAAGATACATAGTCAATTTGAGCGAGATGTTTGTGGCACAAGAAGACTGAAAAGCATAGTTACTCGAACCAGCAATTGAGCATTTGAGCTAATGACCGGTTGTCCCATCTTGTCTAGATGGTCTTCGAAGGGTGCCGCAAATGGCCAGCCGAACATCGGGGGAATGGACTCTCAGACGCTCCATGGGACTGCGATGCCGATCCAGACAGACCCCCCCCGGCACCACAAACAGAGGTTGAAGCACCCTATCGACTATCCCAGTTGGGTACCCCAGGTTTTCCGGGTCCTAGTTCAGGTCACTGGCTACCTCTGTTGGCACCCCAACTGATCGGCAGCCCTATGGCAGTCCCAAACAGGTCGCGTTTGGGAACTGGCAGTGGCTTCCGATGGTTCCTCTCGATCCATGAGTCCATTCGTCGTCCGGATTTCAGGAGGAATTGACCCCAACATGTTGGTCGTGTCGACACGTGGCAACATGTGGCAACATGTCGGTTGCAAGCAGGATGGTAAGCTTACTCCATGGCTTTTTGGTGGAGTTTTTTGTTTTTTTTGTTGTCGAATGTGGGCTCGTGGGTGCGCTGCCAGGACTAGAAGACTGCAAAGTCCTCCAAGAATTCAATCATGAGCTAGCCTAAGTTTATACTGAAATTCCTCCTCTAATTCTCAGGATTTCTATAATGGATTTGGGGCCCGGAGCACCCGGTTCCCGTCATCCATGATTTCGCGAAATGTCCCGACCCAATGGATCTGAGGCCATGTTTCCTTGGAAGCGTGGACTGAGGGCTACGTGCAACGGCTGCAGTTCAGGGTTCGCGGGAGGCCATATATGCCTACATTGGTGTGGTTTTTGGGGTCAATGTAGGCAAATATGGCATACATGGAGTGTCTGGGGTTGGCATGTTCCCAAAATCTCGGCAAGGCCTGAAGTAGAGGACAGATGTTCTGTTTTTCTTCGCACTCGGCTTACGAATAAGAAGATGGCATGGTCCTCGAAAGGAAGACGACTTTCCAACGAAAGGAGCCGGGGGTGTCAGAGAGTGCTTTCGAAGAAGCTGTTCATTCTTCTCTTCATGTTCAGTCCCTGAAGCGACACCCAATCATCCAAAAACACAGTAAAACAATGTAAAACATGCACAGTTGCAGTGGAAGTCAGTCCAAAAAATATGCTTTGTGTTGCATGGTTTTCTGGAAGTGGTCGATCATGACGACCAGATGCGGATCAACTGAGTCATCGATTATGTTGGGTTTGAGAAGAGATCGCAGAGGAGGAAAACTTACCAATTGTGTGTTTGACATTGTTTGACTGCAGGACCGGCAAGGCATGAGCACACAGCTCAGATTAATATATATATATATATTATATTATAGGGAGTTGTAAGTGGATCATAGTGGATCCAAGATGATTCAAATATAGATAGAAGATGATAGAAGCATTTTTTTATATAGATCCAAATTTAAATAGATCCCAGCGGCCAACAGACAAAGAGGCCCACGCACCCGCTATAAGCTCTAAATCCTTATGTCCAGCGGGTGGCAGCCTTCTTATGTCCCCTAAAACTGGTCGGTAGGGGAACATCACCTTCCAAGTGTCCATTTGATCCAGGGGGTGGGGCTACAAAAAAAACAGCTTTAACATCCCTCTTAGGCCCTTACTTGTTGCCTTATGAATGATGATCCGTGCCGCAATCCTTTTCCAGTACCAAATGACCAAACCGACCCTCGTTTCATAATCCTTTTCAAATGGCAGCACCATGGATTGAGTAAGGGGGATGCGTGAACCATGTTCAAAACCGACCTAGTAACCGACCTAGCGCTTCCAATGGGTGTCCAATGGAGACCTATAAGTAATTAGTGTAGGATGTCCATGGGTGACCCGTTGGAAGCAGCTGGGTGAAACCTACGCCGGGAGGAGCTCGTAGAAAGAGATTCCCCGAGGGGGCTGAACTGTCATCGGTGGCTTGACACCGGTCAAGCTACGGCCCTGCAGTTCGAGTGTCGTCGACCCAAACTTGGTGCAACCTCACCGATGGGATTCCATTTTTTTTTCACCAAACAACCCTTAGAGCCCTTAGTTTTACTCAGGAGTTTTAGACAGCTAAGACTAGGTCAACCTTTCCTTATAGCGTTAATGGTCATTGAAGGCTAGGCTAGGGCGGCTAGGGCTTTCCTTTCACACCCAATCGTACATTTGCGTGGACCTGGCCCACTGCTGAGGCCGCGACCTGGGAACAGATTCAAACCGATTACCCAGCCACCGCCCCCGTGAACGTCGGCAATATGGGCGCCACGGCCGTAGGCCGCCGTATGGGCGCCAACTTCCCGTAACGGCGGTTCGTACGGGGTTCTCATCGACAGGAAACCGGAGATGTTTCGTCCCCCAAAGACTCTCCAACAGAGGTTGAAGGACCCTATAGGCTATCCCATAGGTACCCCAGTAGGGTCCTATAAGGTCACTTAACCGCTCTTGGCTGAGGCAGATTTTCCCTGAAACCAATTCTGGGAACACACGTGACGCTGGGGCGCAGGGACACACCCGAAGCGTGGTTCTTCCAAACGGTTTTTCAGAGCCACCAAATGCCGCATTCGTTTCAGACCGGGTAGCTGTCCGGTTGGTGGATGGTGGATGGTCTGTCAAGATCTGGCAGGTCCAGAGAACAGAAAACTGGACCCAACACAACAGGTCGACTGACTGTTTCAAGCTTAGGTGCTGACCGGTGCTGGTACCAGGTGCTAGTACCGGCCCGACCTTCAAGTTGTTCCGAGCAAACAAATGCAAACTCTCTCTCCAAAGCAATAATGATCGTTGAAACAGCTGTTTGGTAAGTAATTTGCACACTTTGGATCCTGCACGTGAACATGTGGTTCCTCCAAGTGCTGCTGGTTTCGCTCGCGTGCCAGCTTCGAGGGTGCAACATACTCAGGTCCCATGTTCACCGTGTTGTGTCCAGGTCCCATGCGTGTGGGACCACGCAACTCTGCCACACCCAGACCTCTCCACGCCCCAGACCTCGCTGTTTGCCTGTGGGCGGAACCAAACCATGTGCGCGTCGCGGCGCGCCCATGTGGGGACCAGGCCAAAATCAAGCCCCACGCCCACTCCGGGCGGCCGGAAAAAGGAGACTCGACTCGGTGGGTTTTCTGGGAATTCTCATGGATTCGTGGAAAACCGACCATTGACACTTTGGGGTGGAGAGTTTGGGAACCGTTTTCTACCAGGATCCTCCCGCCCTGAGGGTGCTGGTATATAAAGCTTTCCCCAGTGACAGTGACAGACGTTGAGGTTATGATGGAAAAGTGTCCTTCTATATCGGACGAGGAGTCAAGGAAGCAGCGTGGGAGTCAGAAGGTTTGAACTTGGCACCTTGGACGGACCGTCTGGGAGGTTTGGGGCGCTAACTGCCAACAGAGGTGGGTCAGAACCCGAACTAGGCTATCCCAGTCTAGTACCCTGGTGGGGTCTTATAAGGTCACTTTACCTCTGTTGGTGCAATTGGATTTTTATAGATTTTTGGTGTGATCTTTTGCAGAATTGCAGGTTCCTGCTTGTTGTAACTATAGTGGTGCAAGAGATGTTGCTTGGAGCGTGAACTGCATTATATTCATTGTGACAGTGTTATTGGGATACCGTCGGACATTCCTACAAGAGGATTTCCATTCCAAAAGGTGCAATGGAATGTCTCGATCGTTAATCGCTTTCCGTTGCTTGCCGGAGCTGGTTTGGAGCTGAAATGACCGAAGATCAAGACACCCAGACCGTATGGAATCGTTACTTAATTAAAGATTACAGATTCATAAGGGCTCATTGGGGCTATAAATGGGGCAACTGTGCAAGGTGGTTTTGGACACATGACCTTCCAAACGACTTTGCCCATGACCCATGCCACTGATGAGCTCCATTCCAAAAGGCCTGGGATCGAAGAGGGTTTCCGTTCGTCGATGTGTTCTGGTGGCCTGGGGGCCTGGGGGTCTGGAGCCTCACGGAGGAAACAAATGAGGCAACAACACACGTGAACAAAGAACACCACCCGGTGGAATCCGATTTGAGTACCGAGCATCCTATTCGGAGCCTGGCTGAAGCCTCAAGGTCGCATGGCCTTACTAGATTTACTAGATGCTGGTGATGGATTTGGGACTGTAGGCTCACTTTAACGGGCTGAATTGATTCTTTGGACGATGCCATGGACTGGCAAGCCCGAATCGACATGAACTACATCCCTTATAGTTACTGATGTTGTCCGATTTGATAAGCCAAATGCTGGGAGGATTGAGGCTACTTGACCCGATCCTTGTGCTTCTAATTGACTTCCTTTCAATGAGAATACTCTCTGATGCTGGTTTTTTGGTCGATTCATCTCGGCTGGGACTGTGGTTGGGATTTCTATGTCCGAAAGCGAAGAAGATTGACCTATTTTTTCTGCAGGAGTCGGGCAACACAGACTGAAGTCATCAATGGGGCTATACTCTACCAGACTCTACCAGCAGAAGGTGAGCATTGAGAAATATGTTCTTTCCATTTCTTTCCCCCCCCACTTGAGGACACTCTCTTGCATCGCAAATCGTGGAATTTGGGTGGGGCACAAACTATAATTAACAACATTGAGGACAAGAGGTGACTGCGCCAAAGCCAGGATAGGTATTTTGTGTTGATTTTCTCACCATCACCCGAACTTGGAACTTAAAAGGACATTCCAAGAGAGGTTCAGTGACCAGTCCAGTGACCTGAACTAGGACCCGTCACCTGGGGTACCCAACTGGGATAGTCTATAGGGTTCTTCAACCTCTGTTGGTTATAGAAAGCTCCCACTCCTTAGCTCCTTCCAAACCACCAGCAAGAGTTCTGCATCTTGCTAGACATGCCCGTCGCCTCGTGTCGCTCTCGTCCCGGTTTTTTGGTTGACGTGAGACGTGCAGAGTGATACGTCACCGGGAGAAAGGGGGGGGTGATCCGCTGAGGATTTCTTCCGCGGCTACAACATCTCCTGGCACTTGGCAGCCAAGTACTTCGACCCACCTAGCGTGGTGAACAACTCCCTCCTTTTGCCATGCGACTCGGAGAAAGACCAGAGAGAGAGAGAGGTGGAAGAGGATGACCTGGTGTGTGTTTTAAGGTGTTTTTACTTTCCCATGTGTTTGACTCCCTGTACCCCCCTGCCTGGGAAAAAGAGATCCCGCAATTCCACGGAAAAGAAGGTCCGCACACCATGAGTCGAAGCAAATTTATGGCGGAAGACATGGTTCCAATCCCAGACACTCCATGGGACTGCCATATATGCCTACATTGACCCCCAAAACCACCAACGGGGGAAGCCTCGGGTGATTTTGCAGCAAAGCCGATTTTAGACAGAACATGATAGAACAGATGTTGGGCTCTCCCAAAGCCCTCTATTTTTTTGGGGGAGGCAACCCCAATTGCAAGGTTCATTTGATCAAGTTCGTCTCTACCCGGAACCTGTTTAGTGACCTTCGTGTTTTCTCGGTGTTGGACTGTTTCTCGGTCCTGTTTTCCGAAGTCCAGTTGGCATGGCCGCCTTGGATGGCATGGCCGCCTTGGAAGACGATTTTGTCCGAAGACCCTTCCAACACGGAGAATCCACTTGCATGTTTGTTGGGAGGGTATATTCTCCTTAGGCTTCCAAGACCATGAAAAGAGTTCGGTTGACCTGGTTGTGTAGTGTAAAACCCTTAGTAAAACAGCTCGGTGGTTCGGGACGCCTATGAAATCAATCCCAGACACTCCATGTATGCCATATTTGCCTACATTGACCCCCAAAACCACACCAATGTAGGCATATATGGCAGTCCCATGGAGTGTTTGGGAATGGTGGGCCAGGAATCCGCTTCTGGCACCTTCGAAGGTTCTGGCGGAACTTCCAAAGCTTGGGATCACTGAGCCTCCGACCATGCGTTCCCAAAAGCATCGAGCTGGACGGACTGAGACAGGGTCTGACCAGCCATCGTTCGTTTGCACCTGAGGCAATGTGACGCGCTTGTGGATCAGCAGGGTCACTTGGACCACCCGATGCCGCGGCGAGCCCCGCTCATTGCAACTGGATGGGTCCCATGAATCTTATCCTGAGGCTTCCCCTAGAAAAACCCTAGGGATGAGACGATACGGCTAGTTACACCCCTGGAAGTCCAAGGACTCTTCTGAAAATGGTCATTAGATAGATGTCATTAGGTGATCCAACGTTCGGAATGTGCTTTACTTAAGTGGTGCATCGTGGTGCGAAATATAGTCCAACTAGAATGGGTATAATGTTTGTGAAGTGGCTGCACCAAGAAAGAGAAGTGGAGAGACCTTGTATTATAGGACCCAGTGGTGCCATGGGATGGGCCAAAAAGGGCAACCTCTCTTGGTATGGCCACTTCCAGGTGTTTTTTTCAGCTTCACTTGGACAAAAACCTCAGAACATCTTAACAGGACGAGTCGTGTCGTTTTTCCGCTGGAAGTCCAGCCGATCATCTTTATAGACCATGGGAACGATCCTACAGAGGTAGCCAGTGACCTGAACTAGGACCCGTCACCAGTACCTATATAGATAGTCTATAGGGTTCTTCAACCTTTGCTGGATTTGCTTCTAGGGCTTCTGAAGCTCCACGCCAGCTTAAAGCTCCGACAGAAGGTCGATAGAAGCTCCAAGATACGTGTGCGAAGCCAGGGCGCCTGGCGGGTTTCGCCTTCCTCACATCCTTGAAACTGCGCCGAATGTGGAGGAGCCAGCGGTTGAAGGACCCTATTAGACTAGCCTAGGCCAGGGTACCCCAGGTTTTCCGGGTAGTACTTTGGTCACTTAACCTACCTCTCTTGGAGTGTTTCAACGCACCTCCGTGTCTTGCACCTCCGTGTCCGCTCGGTCCCGCACACGGCGGGCGTGGCGCTACCTCGGCTTGTTCCGAGGTGTCGGGCTTCATTTGGGTGATGTTGCGTGGACCGTGGTCTTTCTGGGTGGATCAAGACAGGTAGCCAGTGGCCTAGTTCACTAGGACAACCTGGGGTACCCTGGCCTGGGATAGTCGAACTGCGGGTCCTTCAACCTCTCCCATACACTCCATGTATGGCATATATGCCTACATTGACCCCCAAAACCACCCCAATGTAGGCATATACGGCATGCATGGAGTGTCTGGGTCTGGAATGCACTACTGGTCCCCCTTGGAAGATGTGAATCTCGCAGTCCCGAACCTCGCCGAACGCTGCGAGGTCATGCAATTCTACGCCGAGTTGACCGGTGATTGGGACGGCGTGGACGTGAACGATGGCGTCGTCACAGCGAAGTGTTGGGAGGGGAAATTCTGGCACCTTGGAATGACCAGATTTGGATCCAGATCTGGATCCAAATCAGATCCAAGCCGTCAAGATGGCTGCTGAACTGAGCTTGTTGTTGTTCTTCCGCATTTGGGATGCGGAAAGAATTGGCTTTGGAAGGGGGAATGCGGCAATGTGAGGCACGTGGAGAGGATGAATCATGATGAATCATTTGCCCCTCATCACTTTGCGTGACTTTGGGGAAAAGCTGTTGTCGACCTGGACATCACACATTTTGGATCAATCAAAGCCCTCGAACAGCAAAGAAGGAGCTTTGGAAACAATACCAAGAAATCACTAAACCAATATCATAACCAGAATCAGTTGGAGCTATCGCTTACACATAGTCTTATACATGGTTTTGCTTGGTGTGATTGCTTCTCCTTGTGGGTGATTTCCCATGCGAATTGGGCGAATTCTTGGTTGTTTCACGGGTCGACAGCAAAATCCGTTTTGGCTTCTCTACGTCCAGACCTTTAGGGAGAAGGTCTTTCTGCTCCAAGTCCCCACCAGGTCCCCAAAGAGAGGGGAGTCCAGACGCAGAGACGAGCACGGTGCCTGGCTCTGGCGTGATCCCTCAGCCCTCAGGTATGCGCCCTCCTGTCGTGGCAACTCTTCGGGCTGCTTCGTGCTTCTCACTGGTGGCAATGGCTGGGACCTGGAGAACTCCATGCAGAAGGCCACCGCATGGAATATGCCCATGGCTGCCTGGAGCAAAGGATGGGCACCGCTGCTGACAGATGAGACCTTTAGGACCTAAGGCATTGCACATGTTGACACGTATGCATATCCATATTTTGGATGCCAAATCAATGCCGTACAAACTGCTGACACCACAAAATAGCATTATGATGATGCATTACGGCTTGTAAGTCAGATGAAACCTTTCAAGTTGCATGGCTGACATGACCTTCCTAAACAACCTTTCTATTGTGACCGGTTCGTCGCTTACGAAGCAACAGGGCTTTTCGTAGCACGTCCGGTAGCTACATCACACTGACAGGATCTGACAGGTTTTGGACCCTCCATCCACCGGCAATGCAACAGCTGAATCCAAACATATCCAAATCCATCCGAATCCCTATAGGCGTCCCAATACCTTGTCAGAAGATGTCAGAAGGCATTTGGACCCTCAAAGCCTTCATTCCTGAATCGACTGTTTCAACCTGTTTTTGGACCCCCCCAACAAATTCCTTCACAGAAACTGTGCTGGATGCCAAGGCCTGCGCTACAGCTTTGAACTGGAAGTGGTTCACGAATCTGCCACTTCAGCACGACATGATGCCACTGGACCGGCACTTCTGAGGACTCGAGTCACGATTCGGTCCCCAGTGGCACTTCGGTGGTTCGAAGCAAAGAACAGTTAGCCACAGGATCGAAGGTACACCATGTGAGACCATCGTCGAATGAGTTCGTTCATGGTGTTTCGGTGAGACCATGTCCATTTCACCGTCCTTGGTCCAAATGTTTCAAGCGTTTTTTTATCTCAGGGTTATACAGTCCTAAACGTAAACCACAAGCACGGGGGTTGGAGGTCCTTGTAAGGGAAATGGTTCATCCACTTGATTTTGCTTGCGCAACTGATCCCTGAGACTCACGATATCTCACGAACATTCAGTAGTTTATGTTCACTATTATTCACTTCTCCTTGGTTGCAATCCCAAACCCTGGATGACCAGAGGATGGTAGAGGATGAACAAACTCCTTGTCAGTAGCATAATGGAGAACTGTTTCCATGGAGACGGACATTTTGTCCACCCTGTGTCATTTTGTTTGGAAAAAGCAAACGGGCAGGAAACACATACTGTGCATTATATATAATATATCATTCTAAGAATAGCAATATCCATAATATGAATACAACACTATAGACATAATATCACATCCAAAAAAAATCATTTTCCCCAGTTTTGGCCACGGATGCCGGGACTGTGGTTTCTCACTGATGCTGGCCGCGGCAGCCGCGGCCCGCGGCCCAGGTTCTATTGGTGGGTGCCGGACCCTACGTGACCTGATCCAGATGGGAAGATGGGATCTGAGTGGGCGCCCCTACCGTGATCCCGGATTCGAGTGGAGTCCAGTTCGACCTATTTTGGGGCACCACCCAATGAAAGGACAGTCCGAACTTCGGGGTCACCCGGTCAAACCAGTTGAAAGATAGTTGTTTGACTTCCATGGGCTTAGGTATACTCCTACAGACCTGAATCGCCCCTTTGGTTCATTATGGGAGCCATTTTTTGATCGAACCCCTTTAAAAGGTGAACCCCATGTGAAACCCTTAGCAGACAGGCAGTCGTGGGACTTGGGGATGGGACTCTGGACCTCTCCTGGGCAGCCGCCCTGGACGCCTCGCGGAACTGGGTTTCCCCCCAAGGCATCGAACAGCCCAGTCCGAAAGCCAGCGCCGTTTGCACCCTAAACCCTCAACCCAGGATTCAAACAACCATTGTTCTGATGGTCTTTACCAAAGAACATCAAGGAACTATTGTTTTACTAAGGATTTTTACACTACACCACCAGCTCAACCGTTCTTTTAATGGTCGAACTGAAGGCTAGGGTAAACCCATGTGGACAGCGATTCGCTTCGCCGAACCCGGTCAACCGTGGGTGGACGCCGAGGTTCTTATCGCTCAGTCCCTTGGAGGTGGCCTTCCCTCCCCATGACCGGCAGGCACACCTCCGTGGAGACAAGTGACCCGGCAGTCATCTTGTGGGTCTGAGAACCTGGGATTGATGCAGACACCAAAGGTGACCCAACACCGCGACTGGCTTGAGTACCTGGATATTTAAGACATGAGGTCAACGTTTTGAAACTCACCACCAATCAGAGGATTTCTTTTGGAGAACCATCTACAGGAAAAACCACTCTTTGATTCAACAACTACTCTCTCCAAATCCGTTGGGTCCCCTGCTTTTTGATCCAGAGCTCTTTTGGATAGGCAAAAATGGCCTGGACCAGCACCACTCCCCCAAATCGGCTTGTGGGACAAAACATAAACAGATCACGCGGTCAGATATATACAGTGGATTGAGAGTAGATGGCACAACCCCCAAGATGTCTTGGATATAGGGGTCCATATAAACCACCTTTTGGGGATTGCGCCATCTACTCTCAACCCAGTATAACTCCCGTGGAGGACGCTTTCCGATGCATTCCCGTGCACTTAGCTTGCTTTGTCTTGGGGGGGGGTCGTAGGAAACCATAGGAAACCTGTAACAGTCGGTAAACCAGACCATTATATCTTGGAGGAACAAACGCAGGTTGAAGGACCCTATATAGACGACTGTATCCCATAGGTACTCCAGTAGGGTCCTATTTACGGTCACTTAACCTCTCTTGGACGGCCTGCGGACGCTCCAGACGGCCGATCAGTTGGAAGGCTATTGGGGGACGCGCACTGATCGACACATCTATGTTTCTCTACCCTGCAAGTCAAAGACTACGCAAACAATGGGTCTTTAGATGTTTGTAGGGGATCTGCAAAGGGAATCACTAAGGGAAAGTATAGTCTTTGGACTTCTGGGGTATACCTATATCTCTATGTGCAGCGTACATCCAGTCCCGATTCGGAAAAAGGCGACCAACCTCTCGAGCGGCTTGCTGCGCCTCGAGCCTGCCGGCTCCGGACACTCAACCTCCCTAGGCGAACCTCAATGAGTACGACCTCGGTGGACATTTGCGTGAGCAAGGCGGGCGCGCGCTCTTTCTCGTGCACGGCGCGGTTGGTTTGCGCGTCGTGGAGGTCGTGTGAAGGAGAGATGTCGACATGCCCGGTGTTTGGATGCATGCATCCATAGAACAACCCCCTCCGTGGTGGACCACCAGGCAGTTCTTTTGTGTTGTTGTTGTTGTTGTTGTTGTGGTGGTGGTGGTGGTGGTGCTGGTGCTGGTGCTGGTGCTGGTGCTGGTGCTGCTGCTGCTGCTGCTGCTCCTGCTGCTGCTGCTGCTGCTGCTGCTGCTGCTGGTGCTGGTGCTGGTGCTGGTGCTGGTGCTGGTGGTG